GAGGTGGAAGAGATAGAAGAGGTGGTGAGTATGGGTTTAACGACGGTTGAAGAGGAAGCGGTCGGAGTGGATGCAGTGGCAATAAAGGTGGTTACGGCGGCGGTTACGAAGGAGGTGAAGATAGTGCTCAGATCTGTGCGGTAGTGGTGGAGAGAGAGAGAGAGAGAGAGAGAGAGAGAGAGAGAGAGAGAGAGAACAGCGATGAGAAATGTTTAGGGTTTGGTTTAGAAACAATATATATACTTGGGTAGTTTGGTCATTTTGTGCTAGCTTATCCTTATGGACAAAATATTTTAAAGTGTGGACTTTTAGAGCAAAAAAAAAAAAATTTAAATTAGATTTTTGAATCGAATGCGGACCTTAGATAAAAAAATTTTGGGTAAATTTTGTTTGGGATACTACTTTGGACTAAAATAGTCATATAAAATAAAATTGGCTATTTTAGTCAAATAAGACAAAATGTCACATCTAATCCATAATCATTTTATTTTTTTATCACAAAGTCAAAAAAATCAAAAAGTCTATCACAAACGAGACTTTTTAGCCACAAGCTCAAATAGTCAAAAAGTTAAAAAGTCAAAAAGCCAACCCACATTCCAAACGAAAGCTACATTGATACCTCTTGAGGTTTCTGTATAATACAAATTCTCCTCTCATATTTAAAAAATTATATTCCCTTCCTTGAGGTTTGTAATATTATTACAAATTGCTCAATGGATTGCTGATGGCATGCTCTAAATTTTTTTAAATAAACATTTTGTCCATTTTCTTACAATTTCTTCTTCCAATCATTATGCCTACATTTTACAACTTTTCGTTATTAAATTCTACTTGAAAATGTTCTTATTAAGTGATGATATATATACAAACGTAAATTTTATATATAATTTTTAAATATAATGATATAGTTTAATGGTAACCTTTCACTTTAAAACAAAACACCCATAAACATCATTTATATTTACAATAATATCACTATTATGAAATTTTAATGATATTTTTTATAATATAAATTTTTATATATGAGTATAAATTTTCATTTTTATTTCCACCACTATATTTAGATTAGATCACTTTAATCTAGATATATTTAAAAAGTATAAAATTTGTACAAATTTTTTTTTAAAAATTCATTGAATACAACAAAACAAGATAATATATTGAATTTTTGTATTTTATGAATTTAAAAAAAAAATCACAAAATATTATATTTCTTAAGTATATCTAGATTAGGTGTATCTAAAAAATACTTAAAATAATAGTAAAAAATTTCAGTAAAAATTAAAAAAAAATACACGAAAAATAAAAATTAAAAAAAAAACTCAACTTTTTGTGTGAGTTAAATCAAAGAAGGTGATTGTTATTTCCTTTGAAATAACATGAATAAAATATATGTACTATTTTATTATTTTATATGTATAAAGGCTAAGGGGCAAAATATGTTATTTTAATCTGATGAGGGGTAAGTATAATTTTTCAAATGTGAGGGGCGGATCTGTATTAAACAAAAAGCTCAGGGGGTGTCAATGTAATTTACCCAAAAAAATTTTAATTGGATTTTGGAACTAGATGTCCTTTTTTATTTATTTTTACTAGTAGTGGTATACATATACGTTGCACATTGTATTTGTAATTATATTTTTGAAATGGAAAACTTTATAATAATAGAAAGGAAATAGTCATTAGAAAAGTAGTAATTTATAGTGAATTTATAAACTATATGGATGTATCAACCAAACACAAAAACAATATTTTATAGTGGATGAGAAAAGTGAGAGGTTCGTTATTAGAAACCTGTAGAACTATTGATATAAAGTAAACTAATGATGTAGAAATGTGATTCGGTCAACGAATAGCAAAGTAGAAATTTTTGAAAGAATAAACTTAAATTCAAAATTTATCGAGAATCTTGATGAATGATCTAGATTCAATTCTTAAATGATAAATCCTACTTCTAAAATAAATCTCAACCACAAATGTATTTTCTAAATAAATTTATAGTAAAAATTTTGAGTTTGTAAAAGTTCTTGTAACAAAAACAAATGTGTCATCAAAAAGTGATTGGATTCTCTCTTCTACAATAAACTTAAGTACAAGTTGTATATGTGAAAAATGATGAACTTACACCTATAGAAAATAAAGTCTCTTAATGAATAGACTTGTCTATTCAATTTAATTTTGTAATGATTTGTATAAGCATGACCATTCAGTCTATATAAATAATACTAATTTTTAACTTTTAAAATTAGGGTTGAGTTTAAATTTGATAGAACTTGACAATTTCGTGGGTCTTACTAAAATTCTGTTTCAATAATTCAAACCGTTTATTTTCTAAAACCCATAGTATATATCAATTAGTAGAAAAAATTAGATTGATCAGATAAGAATAACATTTTTATTTTATCATATGTTTCTAAAAAAATAGACAGCAAATATATTTTTAAAAATAAACTATGTTTTTTAGACAATCACAATAAAATGGGTAAATTACACTTTGCACCCTTGCACTTTACACAAAATCTCACTTTAGTTCCTACACATCAAATTGTGATACTTAAGCCCCTGCACTTTTGGTCAACTGTCACATTAGCCCTTCTGTTAATAGTGAGGCTAACAGAAATTATCCTTTAGGGAGTTAAGTGTCACAATTTTGATGTGTAAGGACTAAAATGGAATTTTGTATAAAGTGCAGGAGTGCAAAGTGTAATTTATCCTCACATGTTTTTCATGTGACTAACCTCTGTTAACAATGAGGCTAACAGAAGGGCCAAAGTGACACTTAACCAAAAGTGCAGGGGTGAAGTGTCACAATTTGATGTGTAGGGGGCCAAAGTGGGATTTGATGTAAAGTGCAAGGGTGCAGTGTGTAATTTGCCCCAATAAAATTTATAACGAGGGTCATACAAAATGAATAATTCAGATCATTAAAACAGACCTTGTGGTAAGCCTCACAAACCCGTCAAATTCTATCTAGTTTATATTTGAATTTAGATTTGAATTTTTGAAAACCATAAAATTATGTATTATTATATGAAAAATGCTAAAAATCCACAATTTTACATCTACAAATTCAATTATAATAATGTGGCAAGACAATTGGATACTATATCTACTACTATAATTAAGTGTGTAACAAATTAAAAATTAACATATATTAATATCAATTATGTCACATTATTGTGGCTTAAATTAGAATTTTTTTTAAGAGTTTCAAATAGTATTATTATTATTATTATTATAATATGAAGTTTTTTAAAGGATGAAAACCATAAAGCGATCATTCACAAAAATTCATAAGTGTTAGTGCATGTTGCTACATGGTGCTTATGATTGTTGTTATATGGTGTCTTTTCAGGGACAACGCGTTAGGAAAGGTATTTTAGAATTATGAAAAAGTAGAAAATAAGTGAGATACTTTTAAAATATAAAAAATAAGTGAGGATGCTCACACTTTTAAAATAGTAATAAATAATAGATAGAAAATAAATAAATAAATAAATAAATATATATATATATTATTGATTTAGATACAACGCAAATTGATCCTAGTCAGACCAACCTTAGACATCATTTACCTACCACGGAAATGGGTAAAAAATGGGAATCAGTGATTTAGATTCTCTCACAGACTTTGCCATATGTTTGTAGGACTTGCTTCTTATCCTTTGGGAAAATGATACTTCGCAATTTTTAAAAAATAATTATAAATTAGTGATAAATTTTGTAGACATTAATAATTAAAATTTTAAATTTCCCCATATGTGTAATTATTTTCTGAAATAACCACTAAATTGTAAATTTTCCTTTTTCTTTTTCTACTCAAGTCCAGGATCCAAATATAGTTTTAACTTGCATAAAAAGTTACTTGTAGATAAACATAGTTGGTCAATTACAAAAAAAAAAAAAAAAAGATAAAATATTAATAGAATTTTTTTTTACAACCTTCCAATTATTGTACTCAAATTCTGTAAAATTTTGGCCAAATCATTTAAATGTTTAGTTGAAAGCTTGAATAATTTAGCTAAGAGATTAAAATTTTGAAGGGGAGGAAAAAATAAAATAGAATGGGCAAATACAATTAAAAGTAGCAATTTGGCATTGGAATTAGCCATAGAATAGAACCACAACCTTTGTTGGATAAAGAAATGTTTTCATAAAAAAAATCTTTCTCTTTTCACCTTCTTTCTTTCTCTATTCTTACTAAATTATTTTAAAATTAAATTCTTACTCTAGAAGGAATATAGAACAGAGGACAAGATGACCATATATAACTCCGAAACGATGGTGTTCTCTCCCATTGCTCTGAGAGCAACTCTAATCACACTCTTTACTTTTCATTAAAGAAAGTACAAAAAAAGTATATTCTTTATTTTACCTAATTACTTTAGCTATTGTGTTCTCCAACCACGCTCTTTATTTTAGCTAATCATTTAAACTAACTTAATTAATTTTTAAAATAAAAAAATACTAATTCTTGATATTTTACTAATATAAATTTGCAATAATAATAAATTTGCCCAAACAAACATACAAAACCTGTAGAATGAGGAGAAAAAAAAATATAAAATACAAAATAAGTTATTCCGTAATTCATCAAACAGAAATTGAAAGAGCATATAAAATTGCTACACACACACACATATATATATATATATATATATAATATATAAAATTCCAAATCCAAGACACAAATATACAAAAATCTAAAATATATACATACATAATCGTTTGGAGAGCCTCTGGGGCTTTACAATTGTAGCCACCAAAAAAAATAGGATTGTAAAGTAGGTAGCCCAATAGCTAGCCCATTGGAGCTCAAAATTAGACTTACATTAGCTAAAATGCCTAACAAACCTTATTTACCTATCCCCTTGGAGATCCTCTAACCACAGTTACTACTTAATTCAGATAGAATTCTAATTAAAAATCAATTGACAATCAACGTAGACAAACATAACAGAATCTGCAATTAGAGAAAAAACAAAACTTGAATTTAGGACTAACCGAAAATTAGAGCTCACCATATTAAAGTCACTCTAATGTATATATCACTTGCCAACAAGGTAAAAGAAACGAGTACATGAAGATCAACCTGAAAACTCACAATGCAAACCCATCAAAGAATTAATATTGTTATGATGATCATATTTTATTATCGTGTTTTTGCAATGGCAATTGAGAATACTACACATCTATAAAATATGTCCCCGTTCTTGCTCCAATTCCAATCTTAGTCCCTGTTCCTGCTCCAATTCCAGTCCTAGTCCCTCCAAACTTGTAAACGAATTAAGCATCGCCGTTGTAATTCTTTTTGTAAAGCCATTGGTTGAGACGACGAAAAAACAAGTCCCATGTCACTAGACCCACAACAATGACAAAGAAAACGAGCCAAATCATGTAGTAAAGTCAATGGAGCCGATTTGGGACGAAGACGGAGACAAGGGACATTGCAGAAAGAAGCCCTGAGATCAGAACAAGATGGCTAAAGAATCGAAAATAGTTCCAACAAAGCTGAGCCAGCTGGAACAAAGCTACCAAGCCATAAATGCATATTGCTATCAGAAAAATTCCCATGGTCTTTGAGTGAGTTTAGAACAGAGAGTCATATCTGTTTTGAACGTGGGGATTTTTTTGATAGCAATATGCATTTATGGCTTGGTAGCTTTGTTCCAACTGGTTCAACTTTGTTGGAACTATTCTCGATTCTTTAGCCATCTTGTTCTAATCTCAGGACTTCTTTCTGCAATGTCCCTTGTCTCCGTCTTCGAATGAGGCTAATCAGCAATTTAAGCCAAGCTATAAATATAGCATGGCATGCAATAACTTGGGAGAAAGTGAATTCTCTTGTTCTAGCAATAGAGAGAATCAAAGAAAAAAAAAAATGTATTAGAATCACCATAGGATTCGAAAGAAGTACCATTTTAGTTATTAAAAAAAGAAAAGAGAAAAATTGCAGTCGGGAATTATTTACGTAAGAGATTGAAAATTTAATAATAATAATAATAATAATAATTAAAAAGAATAGAATGTGCAAACATATGTAAAAAAATAACAATTTGGGATTGGAATTAGAATAAAAACCACATGTTTTTTGGACTGGAAAGGAACTGGTCTAATTTAGTTGAATCAAACTAACATTCATAAACATGTTAGCAGCTAATGTAATCTTACAAAATCAACCATTTAAATCATCAAAATGAGATTTGTGATAGATCCTATGGTCCAAACAACACGGTCAAGGCACTATTTGGCATCTCCTATATTAGCATACTTTTTTATCTTTTTATCTTTTTAGGGTCACATCACCTCTCTATTTTTTTTTTTTACATTTTTTCGTAAAAAATCAAAAAATACAGTTATTTAGATCATTCCAAACACATTCCAAGTTAAAAAAATACTACAAACTTTATATATAGTATGTGGGGCCTATGTGTTATCTAAACTTTGACATAAAATAGGCTAATAAAAATCGAAGGATATATCCTCCGTTTTCCAAACTCTCATAGATTCTAAGCCACTGTCACCATTTTTGTCAAATTTGGAGTTTACATAATCATTTCCCTTAAAAGCTATGGGGTTGAAAACTAGACTCATAAATCAATTCTGAAATCTCTTACAAATTACTAATAACTGGTTAGAGAAAATGACTCAGCATTTCAGAGTCAGCGCATCTGATTTGTTTTTCTATCAAAAACAAAATAACCAATATGCACTGTTTGGCCCACAGCTCCACTTACCCAAAACCACATACTAATGAGTACTATCACATTTTAAATAGACTTGATAACATTCACCCCCACAAATTTTCATGATTTTAGAGTAAATGAAATAATTTAGGAGATGTGAATTTCCAAATTTGACGGTTCTATAACAGGTGCTAACTAGTAACTAGCAGAACCATAGATATATGTAGGAGCCCGAAATGGGTTTGTCCTACATTGGTTTGAGAGGTATCCACAACCCACTTTATAAGTTGACTAACTTCTCCTAACTAACATGAGGCCTTTTCTAAAAAAGAACAAAACTGTGAGGCTTCGGCCAAAACAGACAATATTGTGCTAGTGGTTCGAGAGAGAGTTCGGCGCCAAATGAAGCTGCCAATCCAACCCCACTAGCACAATATTGTCCACTTTGGCCAGAGTCTCATGGTTTTGCTCCTTTAGAAAAGGACTCATGCTAGTCAGGAGGAGCTAGTCAAATTATAAAGTAGGTTGTGGATGCCTCTCAAACACGGATAGGGGGCAAACACAATATTGTCTGCTTTGGCCGGAGCCTTGTGGTTTTGTTCTTCTTTAGAAAAGGCCTCATGATAGTTAGGAGGAGCTAATCAACTTATAAAGTGGGTTGTGGATGTCTCTCAGACCGATGTGGGACAAACCCATTTCAGACTCCCACATAAGTCCCCAGTTGACTGGTTCCGAACACCAAGGGACTCACATCGAAGGGAGTTCCCACAAACGGCGCCAAATGAAACTATCAACCCAGCCTCACTAACACAATATTGTCTACTTTGGCCGGAGCCTCACGGTTTTGTTCTTCTTTAGAAAAGGAGGAGTTAGTCAACTTATAAACTGAATTGTGAATGCCTCTCAGACCGATGTGGGACAAACCCATTTTGGGCTCCCACAATATAAATTAAATCATATTCATGATTCTTATGCTCTAACCCGTGACTCGCATATCACATATTTGAGGCGTGATATTGTCAATTTTAATGTAAATGAGAGATTCACATAAAGTTTTAATAATTTTTAAAATTTTATTATAGAATCACACATCATGAATAAATAATAAAAAAAATAAAAATAAAAATAAAAAAAGAGCTCGGAGGTTGTTTTACAAGGACATCCTTCCTAATCTTTATTGAAAAACATGCAACATTAGCTATTTGTCTTCTAATATTCTATGAAGTAGAATAAAAAAATATTTAAGTATAATAATTCGGCCATAATAAAATTATGATGAAAACTACCCTAAAGTACAAAATATTTTGTAACATTTAATTTGTAAAATTTGGATTCTAAATCTACAAAAAATATCACTTTAACCTTGCATTTTAATTTTTTCATCTTAAACCTTGTTTCTAAATTACCACCAATCTCAACTATAAATCCATCTTAGTGGATGGAGGTGATTTAAAAAATCAAGAAGCATAATTTTCCCAATTCACTCCTCTTCTTTCCTTTAGCAATAAGTATGATTATAAAACAAATCAAACTATTCGAACTGAATTTGTGCTCGACTCATTAAAAGCTCATTTGAAGGCTGATTTTTAATTGAGCCAAGTTCAAATAGCTTTAATAGAGAAATATTGTATCACAAATTTTCGTAGAATCATCTTACTTCACTCACTTATTACCAGTTGTTTTAATTTATTTTTTATTTATTTATGAAGTAAATTCTTATTGATGTACGAGTATGAGAGTATGGAACAAACAAGGGACATGAAGCTGTCCAAAACTTGAGAAAATATCATTTTGCTCTTAAAATCATCACTCAAAAATCAACTCAACTTTTTTTTTTTAATAATATCAATTTTATATCTAAACGATTCAATTTTGCATCAATTTTATCCTACCATCAATTGTTGTCTATAATCAAACATAAGTCACTACAACATATAAGAGTTTTAGACGCCAAAGTTGTTGGTCTCTAAAAGTGAAAATCTTGTTACAAAAGACATTAAGAGACCAATATCTATCATCGTGAGGATAGTCGCAAAAATGACGTCTTGAAAAGTCAAAAATAAGACTTTTAACGACAAAATTTTAAAAATGTCACTAATAAATACACTTTTAGGAACAAAATAATTTGGTTTCAAAATAATTTATTTTTGTAGACAAAAAACTTAGTCCCAAAATGATAATAATTCATCATTAACGTCTAATTTTCGTTGTAAAAAATATAATAACACTTTTCGTAATAAAAATATTTGGTCCAAAAAAAATAATTTCGTCCCTAAATTTTGGTCTCTAAGACCTTAATTTTTTTGTAGTGAGTTGTTGATGTGACATCAAAAATTCATTTGAAAATTTATTTACTCCGAAATATCAATTAGACTACTAAATAAAATGAAATTTGGGGGTTAAATTGATATTTTAGATAGTAAACTGAAATTTTAAACAAAATTTCAGTGTCATGTCAACAATTTTCGTTTGATTATAAACTGCAAGAGCTATGGTTAAATTCATCCAAATTCAAATAGTTGAAGTGTAAAATTGATATTATTAAATGAATAGATGTTGAATTGACTTCTTAGTAATAGTTTATGGAGCAAAATTAAATTTACTCTCAGAACTATGACATTTGGCTCCCCATGAAACGTTCCTTCGTCTTATGCCAATGATGCAACTTGTCAAGAGGAGAAAGAAACATGGAAACTCACGAAGCAAACTCATAAACTCAACCGTACTAGGAAGAAAACAAAAACAGAGGAACAAGCATAATACAAACCCATACAAGAAAACAATTAAGAGGAAAGGTCTATAAAGGTTGACAATGCAGAAGCTGATGAAAATGATGAATTGGAAAAAAGTTACCGCTTGCCAAGAGACTATAAGTCTGTAATTAAAGAAGGCCAACCTACCTGGTGTGATGGTGCTGATGGTGATGAAGAGGAAGATCAACCATATGAGGCTGCACCATTCTCTGGTGTTATATGGTTATGTTATATTTTCTTACTCAAGAGTAAGCATTACATCATGCAATTAAAGCTCGGTCTTATATCAATTAAGATATTTTTTTGTCATGCAATTAACATATTTTTTTATGGCTTACGTCATATTTTCTTTGTATCAATTAACATATTTTTTGGTCATGCAATTGTCAACGTCAATGTCAATGTGATGTGAATGATAAGGGGTTTTTTGAGCTTTTGAGCATTTTGTCGTACTGATATTTTTGGCAGATAATTTTGCAAGAGCATTCATCGTAGGGCCCTGCGGGTGCCTAAGAAGCACGGGTGCGGGTACGATACGAGTACGCCGATACGGGAAATTTTTAAAAAAGTAGGATGCGGGTACAGGTACAACTAGGATCCGTCAAATTTTTATTTATTTATTTTTTATTTTAAATTTATAACTAAACATCCAACATACAAATTAAAATTCAATAACATAATTAAAAAGAGAAATTACAAAAAAAGAGGAAACAAAAAAAATTAAAAAAAAAAGGAGAACAAAAATCTGGAAAAAAAAAATGAAAAATAAAATTTGTTCCAGTTTTTTTGATAACATGTGAAATGCTGTGGGGGGCACCCTCCATATTTGTGTAATAAAAAATACGGATGTAATTCCCCCTATTTTTTTGATAAGTATATCAAAGAAAAGATATTATAGACAAAAACGTTTTATTACACTACACCCATTAGCTTAGTTAAATTTTATTATAACTCTGCACAAGTTGTTCACATTGATTCAAAAACTAATCTGTTCTAGTAAGTTTGTTTAGCATGAAAGAGTAGGAAACAACAACAAAATTAGTTTTTTCTATACAACACATATTAGCAATGGTAATTGAGTTTTTAATTTCTTGCACAAAAAAAACATAATAATAACAATAAAATAAAATTTGTCCATGCAATGCAAGGGGTTACCTATAGTTAAAATTATAAAAAATTTCTCTATCTTTTTCCTGCAAAAATTTCATCCTAATAAAATGTTTACAAGAAAATATATTTTCCTTTCGTTCCTTTCCTTTCACATTCAAACAAATTTTCTTTCTAATCAATCAGAGCCTAAAACAAAGAAACAGCTTAACAACCATTACAACAGAACAAACCTCTCATTCCAGCAAACAGTCTAAAAAACCAACTGAATACATTAATATACGCATTCAAACACAAAAAAAAAAAAAACAGAGATTGAGATTCAAAAGAAAGAGCATGCAAAAAGAGAACAGCATTCAAAACCCTAGAAACGGAGGGAAAAGAGGGAGTACCTGACGAGAAGAGGAGTCGTCATTGGAGCGGAGGGGGTCGTTTGCTGCCAAGGAGTACAAAAATCTGGAAAAAAAAAATGAAAAAAGAGGAAACAGAAATCTGGGGAAAAAAAAAAAGAAAAGAAAAATGATATGTCTTCATTCTTCGTTTGCTGCGAAGAAACAGAAAAAAAAAATCTGGAAAAAAAAAAATGAAAGAAGTGGAAGAATCGAAGAACAAGGAGATCGACGATGGACAGAACAAAGAAAAAAATCAGGACAGAACAAAGTAAAGGAAGAAGAATCGAAGAAGAAGATGAGGAAGAATCGAAGATGAACTTACCGGAATATGGTCTTTGAAGGAGAGAATCGATTAGCACCTGCGATTAAAACCTCTTCAATAGCTTCGCAGGAAGGAGTTCTTCAGCTCTCTGTGTTTCAAGAAAAAGAGAGACAATCGAATAGAGTAGAACCCTAATTTTAAAATGTTTCATGTTTTGTTTATTACAAAAGTACCCCAAATTTATATAATTTTTTAAAATAGACCAAAAAAATTGCTCTAATACCCTTTAATTTATAAAAAAAATCTAATTTTTTATCCCAAAGTACCCAAAACCGTATCCATGGCGTACCCATCATTATATTGATGGCATAAAACATACCCAGTGCATTTTTTGTGTACCCGGTACGCGTGAAGTCGTACGAGTACGTCCCCCACACTCAATAAGTACTTAGTACTTGTACGGCAACATTTTTTAAGTACTCGTGCTTCATAAGTGTGTACATATTGACAGATAATTTTGCACTGTAATAGATAGCACGAAGGTTCAAACCTACTACGTCGGCCAGAGTATTCCCAACGTTTAACCACTACGCTCAACAGCTGCACCATTAGTAAATTAGATAAATTTATATTATTTACTGCATTCATAATATTTTCTACAATTATCATTTTATTTATAATTTATAAAATAATTATAATATTACAATTCGATTCCAATTAACACAAGGACCATGTTATATGCATCTTGTTATGTATTTTTATGATAAATGTCATCCATTTTTTTTGTAGGAGTTACAACAATTTATTGTTCAGAAATAAAATTACGCATTTTGTGATAGTATTACCCATTTGATCCAAATATTTTATAACCACAAAATATGTAATATTACCACAAAAAAAGTAAATTTATTTCTAAATTAAAAAATTGTCGTAGTTGTAAGCTATTACAAAAATATATATATAACTGTTGTCGCTGAATTCAAACCAACCAATTCAAAGGTGGTACGAGGCATAATATGAAGAGATATGATCAACCAATCAAGAGAAAGCACATGGCAAGCTAGAAAGAGACAAATGCTGGATTGTAAAAAGTGTCATGTGACAGTTCGCAACTTCAGTTATATATCCTGAGTTAAAGAGCAAGGCTTGAAGGTGTAATTGTTTCAAGCAGTTACAAGGAAACAACTAAAGCCTTGGAATTCAAATTCAAAGTTGAATGAGGGAAAAACCTTGAAGGTGTAATTGTTTCAAGCAGTTACAAGGAAACAACTAAAGCCTTGGAATTCAAATTCAAAGTTGAATGAGGGAAAAACCTATGAATGTAGTTATAATTGTGGAGATCATGGAGGTAAGGTTCAACAGTTACTTCAAATTCGAAGGACACCTATAAATAGTCGAAATGAAAGACAAAGAAAATCCTCCGAACAAATTTAACACATTCATTTATTGTTTTTCTCTTTTCTTACTCTGCATTTACTTTCCATATGAGTAGTTTTTGTTGGAGAAAATACCAGAAACTAAACTATATTATTGATAAATGATGCAAAGAAAATGAGATACAAATAGATCAGGCTGAGGCACGGATATCTCGTTTTCTTTAAGGAGATCAAGTCCACTACGATAGGAAGAATCCAAATACCGATGCAGCAGTCACAACACTATGACTTGTCCCCTCCAAGATACAACAGCCCGACCACTTGTCGTATGGTTCAGGCCAACTCTGCACAAGATGGTGAACCCAAAGCTCTACCAATAAAACACCCTTCTTTGCTAGTAATCTCTCTTGTATAGAAAATAGTTGATCTGTATAGATAGAAAAGAGTAGACTATATATAGGCTACAAGGACCTTACAGTTACACCAAAAATAATAACCATTAAACAAGAAAATAGTTACACCAAAATAATGACCATTAACCAAGTTCATGAATTCTATTTAACCTCCATTTATGATTAAGAGGTTACCAAAGTAATAAAACGCCATTTATGAAAAAGATAAATCAATAAATAAATATAAGATATTAAAATGGTCCAACAATCTCCCACTTATTTTAATATCAACAAGGATAAAAGAGATTACCAAACAAAGATAGACTAGTATGCATCATGAAGGTGTGCTCTGCATTGAACCTTCATTAGTGAAACAACAACCTCTACTCCAGAATCAATAGTGGTCTCAGACTTGAACTATGACTGCTTAGGGGAAATAAAGTATTATTGCTCACACATAATAGTCCAGGTGTTGACATGAGCTTTAATAGCCAGCACATTACGGCCTTGTGCTAATCCCAGTTTTCATGAGCATATTTGAGAATAAGCCTTGTTCTCATAAAAAGCGACCCCACTTTCATGCTCACATAGGTGAAATCTGTCAAGGATGTTCCTGTAATTGACACACCACACTCAACAAGAGCTACAGAATTTCATTAAGAGTATAAAAACTCAACCCTCCAACATTACAGGACAAATGCACTTACATTATAGGGATGGATAATAAAATATTAAAGAGTGCATTTTTACAACCACCATATGATTTGTTCTTCCCTTTGAACCTAGTTACAGGATCCCTGGTCCCTAGGTTGGGTATCCTCATACATGGTTTATGATTTTATAGGCTTCAAACCCATCCCCCTCGATGTATTCCAGACCCTATCTCTCGCCAAGGCCTTGGTTAACGGATCCGCAAAATTATCACAAGATCTTACATAATTCACAGTTATGATGCCACTACTCAAATAGGATCTCACATTACTGTGTTTCCTTCGAATAGGTCTGGATTTACCATTATAAAAATGTTTAGTCACTTTACCAATAGCAGCAGTGCTATCACAACAAATTAACACAGGAGGAATTGGTTTTTCTCAAAAAGGAATTTCATATAAGAAATCTCTTAACCAATTCGCTTCCTCACATGCTGAAGCTAACGTTATAAGTTTAGCTTCCATAGTAGAATTAGCAATTACAGTATGTTTTTTAGACTTCCAACATATAGCACCATCACCCGAGGTAAAAATAAAATCCGAGGTAGAGAGAGAATCACCTGACAAAGTATTCCAATCGGCATCACTATATCCCTCAAGTACCGCAGAATACTTGTTATAAAACAAACTATAATTTTTGGTACCAGATAAATATCTCATAATTCTTTCCATGGCTAGCCAATGATCTCGACTTGGCTTGCTAGTAAACTTGCTAAGTACTCTAACAGCATATGCAATGTCAGGTCTAGTATAGTCAGTAGCATATCTTAAACCACCAATCATGCTAGCATATTCCTTTTGATTAATCGCTTCTTTTCCATTTGTTACAATAGATAAATTTATGCTTGCATCAAAAGGGGTAGCAACATGTTTACAGTCTAGAAAATTATATTTCTTTAAAATTTTCTCAACATAATGCGACTGATCAAGAAAAATACCATCATTAGTCTTGGTAATTTTAATTCCCAAAATAAAATTGACTTCACCAAGATCTTTCATATCAAAGTGGCTATTAAGCATATTTTTAGTCTCATTTATAATATGCAAATTAGAGCCAAAGATAAGTAGATCATCCACATATAGGCTAATAATCACATGTGCATTCTCACAAGTTTTATAATATATGCACTTATCACATTCATTAGTCTTATAGCCATTCTCAAGCATGCAGGAATCAAATTTCTCATGCCACTGTTTAGGAGCTTGTTTTAAACCATAAAGGGATTTAGTTAGCTTACACACTTTGCTTTCTTGGCCAGGCTCCACAAAGCTTTCAGGTTGGTCCATGTAAATCTCCTCATCTAGATCTCCATTTAAAAATGCTGTTTTTACATCCATTTGATGAATTTTTAATCATGAATTGCAGCCACTGCAATCAACAGTCTAATGGATATTACTCTAGTAACCGGAGAGAAAGTATCAAAGAAATCAAGATCAACTTGTTGCTTAAAACCTTTAGCGACAAGCCTCGCTTTATATTTATCTATAGTTCCATCCGGTTTAAGTTTTGTACGAAGGACCCATTTACACCCAATAGTTTTACAACCTGGAGGTAAATCCACTAACTTCCATGTTTTTTTGAAAGTAGTGAGTCTATCTCATCATTTACAGCCTCTCTCCAGAAAATAACATCAGGTGATGATAAAGCTTCTTGTACCGTATGAGGAATTTCTTCCACATTGTAAAGATAATAGTCAGGGCCAAAATCTTTTTCAACTCTAGCTCGTTTACTTCTTCTTGGTTGGATTTGAAAATTTTCTTTTTTTTGAAAAACTTGAGAAGGAGTAGAAGAGCTAGGCATAGATAAAATATTTTCAGATATTATTTGACCCCCACTATTTCTAGATTTGAAAGGAAATTTATTTTCATGAAAAATAGCATCACCTGATTCAAAAATAATATTATTTTCCATATCAAAAAATCTATAAGCTGTACTATGCAACGCATACCCAAGAAAAGCACAAGTGGTAGCTCGTTCACCCAATTTAGGTCGTTTAGGATCTGTAAATCTCACAAAAGCTAAACAATCCCAAATCCTCAAATAACCTAGATTTGGTTTATGCCCCTGTCATAACTCATAAGGTACAATTTTAGTCTTTTTGTGTGGCACTCTATTTATCACATGGCAAGCTGTCAAAATAGCCTCACCCCAAAAATTTAAGGGAGCACCTGAATCAAAAAGCATAGCATTCGTCAAGTCAATTAACGTTTTATTTTTTCTTTCAGCTACGCCATTTGATGAAGGTGAATATGGTGGAGTAGTGTCATGAATAATTCCCAATGACTGAACAAAAGAGTTGAATCCTAGAGATTCATACTCCCGGCCTCTATCACTTCTAATTCTTTTAATCTTTTTACCGAATTGATTTTCCACTTCAAGAAGGAATTCTTTAAATTTCTCAAAAGCATCACTTTTATGTTTTAATAAATATACGTTTGTGTATTTTGAAAAATCATCAATAAAAGTGATAAAATATCGATTACCACCCCGAGTTAAAATTCCTTCAAACTTACACAAATCAGTATGGAATAATTCTAGCAATTCGGTATTTTTTTCAACACTTTTATGAGGCCTCTTGGTAATTTTTGCTTTACTACAAACTTCACATTTCTCAAAATTTTTTGTCATTTTAGGAATTAATCCTAAACTACTCATGATTCCCACATATTTACTGTTAATATGACACAAGCGAG